ATATTTTTATTTTTATTATTATTATTATTAGTGAAATATTTGTTTAATATCTTATTCTTCTTAATGAAAATATAAATATTTATAACAAATTTTTAGGTTTCTTATGCTATTGGAGTAGCAGAACCTCTTTCAATCACAGTTTTTTGATTATGGTACTTCTAAATTATCTCAAAATGAACTTTTAGATATAGTTAATAAAAATTTTGATTTACGACCTGGGAAAATCGTTAAGTGAGTATATTTATATCATAAATAATATTTTAAATATAAATAATTATAAAATTACATGATGCACTGCGTAATGATAAATAATTAAATTTGATTAAATATTATAAATAGCAATATAATCGGTTTTTTTTTAGAGAATTGAATCTTCGTAATCCCATTTATCAACAAACTAGTACATATGGACATTTCGGTCGAGAAGGATTCACTTGGGAACAGCCAAAAACTCTAATTCTCGATTGATGAGAATATAGATAAATCAGTTTGACGTTTCTTATTATAAAACGTCTATCGTTCTCAATAATCATATATCTCGTAAACGTTCTTCGAGATTTTCCGACCTCCGCGCTACTTCGCCAAGTCCATCAATTCCTTTTGCCAATTTAGTACTAGCAAGAAGAATGACATATTAGGTTCTCCACATCACGAGATACTTGGTATTATGTGGTATTATAGTACAAATTTTGTTTATCCAGTATGCAGACAAGAGCAGTCAATTTTTCTCTACTATTTGAAAACTGAATTGAAGTTTATCAATCATTAGATATAATGAAACTATTGACAATGAGGAAAAATAAACTAAACTAAACCTGTTATGAGTATCTTATCCTACATATGTATTCGTAACAGTAAAGTAGTTTATTCAGTGATGCAATTCATTACTGTGGCTTGTAAGTGGTGTGTGTTGGAAGTAAAAAATGATAAAAGAACAATAATACTTAAAATGAAAAACAATCTATATTTCAAAAATGTATAAATTGGCAACATCGGGCCGTGCCTCAAAGCAAATATTTGAGATGAAAACGTTCTCTCAAATTTTTAACAGTGTTTTAGTACTTTATATGAACGTACATGAAAGTTTGACCAACTTCCTTTTAGAGAATATTAATGTAATATTTTAATAACTTGTGTTTTTACATATTCTAGCAAATTCAATAATTAATAATAATGGTGCTTTCATGTATGTTTCTTCATTAGAATTATTTATCGTTCGAGTGCAAATATAAACTGGTAACGACTATGTACATTAATTTTAGCAAAGTGGGAAAATGAATTAATTAAAGCGACCAATTATAAACGAACTTACTTTTTGCATAGTTAAACCTTTGTGACATATGCAGTATAATGTTGACGAGGAGTTAATAATATCGCATTTATTTAAATCTGATTGTTAATTAAAACAAAAATTTTTTAATTATATTTAAATTTAAGTAATGGCGATACTATTAACTCTCATATATTTATATACATATATATATATATATATTTTTTTCCCTCTTTGCTTTGTTTAATTAGATAATTTTAATAGACATTTTCGATCTTGTAATGTATAGCAAATAACGCAAAATCGAATGTTAGACCTTATTTTGTGGAGGTCTAATACAGATCGTGTGGCGGAGCTCGAAAATTATACGATTTTTTCAATTTAGAGTGTGAAGATCTGTGACATTATCGTATTTTGAACATCAACAGAAGTGTAAATGTGAAAATTTAGTAAATTCGTTCCGTTAGATTGATGTACCGATCTATCGTGTAATGGTATTGGCAGTGTAAAGATGCACAAGATTATATGCAAATCATAATAAAAAAAGATTTTTTAATAAAATATTAAATTGTCACTGATTTTATTTATTTTTTTCTCCAACTATTTATAAGTTAATACCTTCTGCAATTCCTCCTAATATTTTATAATTAGATAATTATATAAATTAGAGCTCTGTTGCACAAATTGCAAATTGCGATTAGCTGTAAAGTAAAATCAATAAATAACTTGCATTTTCATAATTATTTTTCTTAACGATAATGCAAAAAATATAAAAGTAAAATTTTCTTTATATATAGTTTGTTAATATCTATTTTCTATTCACATTTTAATTATATGTGTATGATGTAGTATTTTAAAAAATTAAGAATATAATATTGTAAATTATAGAACATCAAAATTTATTGCAGATACAATAATTTAAACAAAATATGTTATTATTTTTACCACATATGTATTATATGATATCATTTGAAAATTGTATAAAATTATCTATCCTAGATATATTTATTAATATATTAATTATCATTAATACTAATTATCAGCTATTGATATTTAAATACACTGCCTAAAAAGCAGAAAAATATATCGATAAAACATTGAATATAATACAAATAAATGATTAGTAAATTGTTATTGTACAAATTTATGTACTTATTCTTAACATTATATATCGAATGTGAAATATATCTATGGAATAAATCTCATAATTTTCTGAATATAATCCTTTCTGATAAATTACAATATTGTGATTCAACATGTATAATAAATTATAGTTAGATTTTGTAGATGAATAATGGCAAAAATAACAAAATCAAATAATTTATTTTTTTTTCGTTTTAATAATTTCACCCATTATAAACGAATTTATTCAGTATGTTATGATAATATTCTATAATAAATAAATTATAATACATCATATACATATGAAACGTAATATTATATATTTGTATCATTTTATTTTTAGATATAAGGAAAAATAAAAAAAATACGATTTTTTTTTGTTAAAATATATTTGCTCTTTTTAAATCACACTTTTCAAATCAATTTGTTTTTAAATAATTGATTATAATTTTACTAGCATAAATTTACGAATTATTAATGCTTTTACTATAATATGTACAATATATTATGTATAATTATATTATTTTTAAATTTAATTGGGAATAATCAAAACAATGTAAAAAGACATATAAGATGTTTAATTATATTCTTATAATAATATATATATATACATAGAAATTCACGGAATTATATACAATACAGTCATGAAAATATGAATAAAGAAAAAACTTTTTATAAAATATGTTAAAATACTGTTACTGATTCATAATTTTAACAATATACATTATTGAAATATAATATATACATAACAATATATAATGAAAAAGAAAATATCAAATGAGATACATATATAAACTTTACATTTCATGAAATAGAATTATATTTTATATACTTATAATTTTTTATGCGACTTTAATTATTCAAAAATAATATGAAAACGGTATTATTACTAAAATTCCAAATGTATATAATAATTAAAATAATATGTAATCAAATTTTGAAATCATATTATGCTTTTCTTAAGAATAAAAAAAATCATATAAATATAAATATAGATCTTTATCTTTCAGACATAAATACTATTACTTTATATTTATAGGATATGAAATACTATTTATTTATAGAATATGAAAGAAATTTTTTGCTGAAAATTATTTTGTTTTATAAAAAAATTCTTGTATTAATATTTCATAATATTTCGAAATATTTAAATGTTGATAATTTCGTTATATGCAATATAATTTGATAACTTTTCAAAACTAATAATCATAATTATAAAATAAAATTTAATAAAGTGAAAATGACATGTAGATTACATAAATTCTTTTCTATCATTTTACTAATATTTAAAATATTCTCAAGCAATTATAAAAAAACTCAACATATTATTATATATAAACTAATAATTAAGTTGTATTGTCAATGTAATAGTCCTAAAAATTTACTTTTTAAAAAATTATATACATTATATAAATTTTTTAACTTTAAATAATGAATTCAAATAATAAATTAAAAAAAAAAAGAAAAAATTATGTAAAAAAAAATTGTAATATATAAAATTACAATAAGTAAGAAATGTTTTTATCTTAAAACAAAAAATTCTAAATCTATGTTTATAAGATTTTTTTTAATTCTGAGGAAAAGCAGAATATGATATTAAATTTTAATCTTCTATTTCGGTGATATAGACATATAGAGAAACATAATCAACATAGAATATTATATAAAAATATATCTGAAATTATAATGAACAAATTAGTGCATAATTATCATTACAGTTAAGATATGTTTTATAAATTATTCTAAGAGATTAAAAAAAAATTATATTATGTGCTTAAAAAAATGTTTATAGAAATGTAATAGCATAATTTTAATTAATGATGACTGATATTGTAAACGAGATAATATTTATATCTTAGAATAAATTTAATTTGTTAATATTTTTTTAGGTGCGTGAATACGACTATGTCTTAATAGCGAACTTTTGTCGGTAAAAGACTTTTCACATTCTACACATTTATATGTTCTACCAGTATGTGTAACCAAATGTCTGCTAAGTCCAGATGCATGACAGAAAGCTTTAGGACAAAGTTGACAATGATGCAATTGAATATCATTTGGATCTAATTTTTGATGTCTTCTCATATGTACTTTTAATGCTTCTCTTTGAGTAAAACTTTTATCACAATGTTGACATTGGAATGGTTTTTGACCAGAATGAGTCATGAGATGGCGAAGTAAAATTTCTTTTTGTGCAAAGGCACGATGACAAATATTACAACCAAACGGTTTTTCACCTATATAAAATATAATTTTAAAAATAAATATTTAAATGCACATGTTTATTCAATTTTAAAAATCAAACATTACCTGTATGAGTACGTTCATGTCTCACCAAAGCTGATCTAGTAGGAAACCATTTTTCACAAGCTTGACATGTAAAACCTCTTTGTGTAGAATGAACAGATTGATGACTTTTTAACATTATTCTTCGGGTGAATGCTTTTGGACATTTATCACATTGAAATACTTTTAATTCTTCACTAGTTTCAACTGTATAAAAAATTTAATACATTAAGAAAAAACAAATTTCATAGTATAGAAATCATATATATATATAAAATATATATATAAAATTATTACCCATGGTATCACCAATTGGTTGTAATTTTAATGTTTCTCCTTGACTTGAACTATTACTTGTAACTTCCATCATATAAACATTTTTATGATCAGCATTTGCAATTGCTCTTTGTACTTCTTCTGCTTCATCCTCTGATTCTTGTTCTTGTTTAATACGTGATGTACGTATTGTGCAACGTGCTTTAGCAGCACGTTCCTCTGCAGGTACTAATGTGATATTTTCTGGATCTTCTGACATTGTTTCTTCCATCTCTATATTTTCAGAATTCATTCCTATATTTAATAAAAATATAATAATTTATAAAATAAACTTAAAAAAAACTATATACTAGTTAAATTCTAAAAACAAATAAAAACCTTCAATATACCTAAAATATAACCACCAACAAGTTCTTCTTCTGTCACTTCAATCGGATCTCCATCTTTTTGTCCACTATTACCTTTAATTGAAACTAAATCTGCCAATAATTGTTTAACTTGTTTAGATTTTCCACTGTTTGAAGAATCTTTTAATTCATCTCTATTGCTATCCTGACTTTCTCCTTCTTCACTTTGGCCAGTTAATTGTTGAATTAATTTCATATGTTTACGAAGTTTTGCATCAGCAGCTTCACATTTTTTCTTAAATTGATAGGATTTTTCTAATTGATATTTGCATGGGTGACAAATCATATTTGGAAGACCATCTTCTTCATAAACCTACATTATTAATATTATTAATATATGAAATTTTATTAATTTTCTACTAGTATATTAATTATTTATATATAAACTTAAATAAACAAAATACAATATTTAAATTATTGTTTTATATAAAATAATATTTATAATAATTGTTTAAATACTTGCAAATCATTTTTTTCAGCAATATATAAAAATAAATTTGTACATGTTTTCATTTTAATTAAGTTATATTAACTTATATTTTATATAATAACTTATATTTAAGTTATATTTTGTAACTTAAATCTCAAGTCTTAAAATTTTGAAACAATGGAGATAATGAAAATATTGAAAAAATATATAATAAATTCAAAAAAAATATTCATGATATAGTGAAATATTAATAAAAAGAAATATTAGATATTTTGTCTTTTTTATATGTTGTAATTATTTATATCTAAAATAAAAGGAAAAAGGCAAAAAGTTCAGTGAACAAATATAAAGTGTCAATATTAATACATTGGCTATAATATTACAGATTTCTATAAATCCATAGGGTAAATGATCTGTAATGCAATGATACGCCTTGTCTAGATTCCTGTAATGAAAGGGAAGGTGGCGTCGACATATCGTGAACGTAAAGTCGATAACTCGGTAAAGCCGGTAGTTGCTTTGCGCAGTGTGTCGCGCGTTGCCCGAGACCTAAAGTTAAATCATAGACGGTTCTATACCTCGTCTGTGGTTAAACGTTTCCTTTATACCTACATCGAATGTGTAAGTGACCCTCACAAATACAGAGCAAAATCGAAGAGTGGGGTAAAAATGAGAGAGAGAGAGACAAAGAGAATCTCACGCAGAGAGATAAACTAGATTCCTATTTTTCGATAAGATTCCCATATACGTACGAAAGATGATTAATTGATGGGACTTTAACTTAAATTTGTCACATATTTATTAAATTAAATCTTCTAACTTACCTCCAGATTAACACAAGCCATTATTCGCAAAGATAAGGGAATAGTTTCATCGTCGTAAATCGGCACCATCTCCTCCTCCTTTGCCAAGCACAGTCGGCACAGCTCGTTCACATGAATGATTACGTTGCTCGTGCTATCACCCTTTTTTCTGCTATATGTTTTCATTTTGACGTTCTTTGAAATCTTCTACACGTTCGTTACGTAGATATTTCACCTTTAATGTTGAGGAAAAATAGAGTTTTCCCTGGAAAACCCTGGAGAACGAGACTCAGTCACACACAACGGAATCTATAATGGCGGCGGCGTCGGTTGCGGCGGCAGCGACGATTGACCAATGGCGGACATATGGCGCTGTAGTACAGCAAAGATGGAGAATTGTGAATTTTCTACACGCGGGAAGGAGAAAGATGGTTACGTATAAAAGAGAAACTGCGTCGTTTAGGGTCTTCGTCATCGCAAAGTCGGTAAGGCCGGTAACTATTATTGATTTTCTATTCTTCCCAACGGCGGGAAATAATCTTCCATTTGCTATTATAGCGGCATATTCGAATTTTTTTATATTTAATATTTTCACATTATTATATTTCTTATTTCTTATATTAAATTATTGATTACAAGAAATGATTATCAATAATAATAATAAAGATAGCAATAAATGCATTAATTCTTATTATTTCATAATACTAACTAAAGAAATAATGTTTCGCATTGGACTGCATTCGAACAATGGTTTTCGTAGAATATCGACCGTTCAGAGATATGTATTATAAAAACTTTAATACATACTTTCTTCACTAATATTATTACAAATAATACAAATAGAGATTATTATTACAGTCAAATATCTTAATTATGATATAAATTCTACATTTTTAATGTATATAGCAGTTAGAGATAGTAACATTAACATTCATTATCTGACTCTCTTGGTAAGAAATTAGATTATATACATAAATGCTATACTTTTACTTGTAAAATTGCTTAAATGAATATACCAAACATAATTATTTAATATACTTAATTATTCTTGTTTTTCTATTAATAATTTATTTCATAATGTAATATTTGATTTTTTTATATTTATATTTATATTTTTTATTCTATTATATTATTTATATTTATTTTTTTATATTTATATTTATTTATATTAAATTGTTATCTGCACATTTATAATAATTATAAAAATAGTTAAATGAATCTAAAAGTATTTCAATTATTTTTTTTATTTTTAAAGAGGAAATTATATATTATAAAAGATAAATAATTTGTTTTTCATAATTTTATATTGTTATTATAATTAAAGAATATAGAAATTTATTTTTTGTTTTGTCTTAAAAATAATTAATGTATTTAAAAATTTCAAATTAATTATCATAAAATTTATTTATTTAATCATAAATAACTTTATAATTAAATTTTTTTATCCGTACTAAAAATTAAATTTTATAATAAATTTTAAAAAAAGATTTTTTATTATAGTTAAATGTTTTTTATAATATTGATGCATCGATTTTTTATAATCATGCAAAAATCTTTTATCCATGTATTTTTCAAGATGAAATTTTTTAAAAATATTAGTAAGGAAGTATACAGATATCTAAAAATAAATTTCTGTTTTGACTGTAATATAAATATAAAATTTTTATTATGAGCATGTATGTGTCACATATTTATGTATGTATTCATTAATCGAATAAGCAATAAACAATTCAATATTCAATATTGGATAATTTATATCAAGATAACATTATCATCAGATATAAGTATATGCTAATTTCAAAAGAAAACGGTATCTGCGATGGTAAACAACAAAATTTATTGGAAAGTTGTCAACAATTTAAAAAAAGAGAATTTCAGGAAACGCAAAACAATTTCCTACGTTTGCCAAAAACATTGTCAGATATGAAGATTGGTGGAGAATAAGGGTCGAAAATAACTAACAAGTCAGAAGAGGAAAAGAGAGTGATTCGACGGTTCTTCCGATAGAGAGGGGATGATTCCCATTACTTCTCTCGTGCTTTCGCTTTTCCGTCCAGTGTGTTTCGCCACTGAAGGAACCCGCGTGCCTTGCGTTTTAACGCGAAGGTAGGTGCTCGTCGTTGTGATCCTCATGCTTTTTCGTCTTGTAAATCCAGAAATTCATCAAGTGATTTAGGAGATGATTCATTTGTATAACGATACAGCGGAACGAAATTAACTGAAGAAAAATGTGTAAGAAAAAACTAGAAAAATAATACAAGTTTTTACTATAATATGTATTTTAATAACAAATATATATATATATACGTGATTTAATTATGATTTAAAATTTATTATATATTAACGACGCATTTCGATGTAACATTATGTTTCTTAAAATATATTTGCGATGAGGTTTACCATAGTATAAAATAATATATGAATCGTGTTAGTAAAAATTTTTAGTAATATTAACGATGAACAAAGATTTATATATTCGCATAATTCATGTAAACTATGCAATGTGATATGTGAAAATAGAAAATTATTTAAGTGTACATATTTTACATAATTAATATTTCATTATATCATATTTATTTCATTAAAAAAATAAAAATATATATATTCAATCACATTTTTTTTACTTTTTTCATAATAACTTTTCATGATTTTTGTATAAATAAGTGTCAAATGATTTCCGTTTATTTTATCCGAATAAATAGTTTGTTATCATACAATTCGAAGAATATTTAAATATTTACGTGGAACGTATGATAAGAAATGTGCTCCGCATATAATCCATTAATTTATCTATACGTTTGGTTTTTTTCTATATTACACAAAAAAATTTAAAACATTAAAGTTATTTGCTTTCGCTTTATGTTTTATTTGTGCTTTATTTGTTTAAGAATGATTGAATTTTATACTTATTATAAAAAGAAACTGTCGGTAACAAACGATTACGGAATCGACTGAATATATCAACGATTGTATATCCAGTTGCGATACGATACAATTGATTTTTAAAGCGGTCGTTGGTAACAGTCGTTTTAAACGATTATCGACCATGATATGAATGATATTATTCGTCAAATATCAAACGATCGATTTGAATATTTTAATTTTTATTTATCGATATTAAATTATACAATACGTAAGTACAGTTATTGTCAGAAATATAATTTTATCTACTAAAACTAGTTTTTATTTACTAAAACAGAATAATTTTTTTTAAAAATAAAAATCTTAATGTTACTCAATCTCATTTTTTTTTTATTGAGTTTTAATTAAATATTATTTGTGATTTAAAAAAAGTAATCATAAAAAGTCATAACATAATTATACAGCATAATTACAGGTTTTTATGAATATGACATTGTAATTCATGTTAAAATAGATAGTGTATATCTATTTCGTAGTAAATATATATATGTTTATTTAGCAAACAAGGACAAAATTTCAGTCAATTTTGAACATTTCTTTTGTCAGAGACATTTTACTATGTAAATATATATTTATAATTAAAAAAATATCATTGTAAAAAATAACTAAAAAATATGATCGTAAATTTTTAGATACAATATTAATCAAAATAGATAATTTTTTGAAAAACTGATATGATGTTTCATCTTTCAAATCTAGATTTTTAATAGCAATTTATAATATAATATAAGCATTGTAATATAAGCTTTGTCCAAATATTAAAAAATTTAAATAGACAGTTACATAAAGAAAACGGAGTTGTATAGATTGTATATTTCAAAAAATAGATTTCTGAAATTAATTGTCATCTAAATCTTTTGAAAAGTTTGGCTCGATATATTGTCGAATCTGTAATTCCACTGTAATCTAATACGATCCAGAAGTATCATTAGGTGCTTCGGGTCACGCAGTGAAAAGAGGGAGATGTAGAGATTTTGCGGACGATGTAGATATATTCGGAGGAATTTCGTAGCAAAAATAACTTCGGTAGACTACCGGTGGCTGCCCAGCAGTGACGCGTCAGAGAGAATCCGAAACTTTCATAAGATAAACGTGCGTTTTGCCCGTGTACATCTTCGTTTTTCAATTCTTCGCTGTTTTCGTTCGAGTTTCCGGCCATTAATGACAGCGTAACCGAGTTCCAGGCTGACAGTTTAACCAGTATGAAATACTTCTACTTAGATAAAAACAGTTTATTTACTATTTAAATTTTTATATTAATTTTATTAATTAATGCATGATTGGACATTTTAAACATTTTCGTTTTAAAAAATGATTTAGATTATTTTTTTTTCTTTTATTTTATTTCTTTTTTTTGTTATCCAAAAATTGCTTTTTTTCAATAAAAAATATTAGAGATATTAGATATATTTTTTAAAACAAATATAATTTTTTTTAAATAAAAATAATTCTTTCATTACACATATAATAAATTTTTTATTATTTTATAATATAAAAGGCTTTAGAATTGTGTTTTTATTCTGTATTATACGTATTTGCTTTACTCATTATGGATTTTTCATTCATTATTTCAATTATCATGTATAATTTATATATTAAAGTAGGAATATGAGATATTCTTTCTATTTTTGAAAATTGAAAATGATTTCAAATATTAATAAACAAGTTTTAAATACAATACAATCACAATTTATTTTATTTTATAATAATGTGATTTTTGTTCATATAAACAATAAACATAACAAGTAGTTTCTAATTTTAATTGTTTTAAATATTTTTTGTTCTTGATTATTGAATGAATCTATGAATTTTGAAATCTATTTTACTATTTACTAATAAACTTCAAATTTCTTATAAATATTACTATCAATTAAATAAAAAAATATTAATGAATAATTATAAATGAACTATTATAGAAGATCAATGTAATTTTTATTTCATTTTCATTATTTCATTTGAATCATTAGAGATCTTATTACTATATATAAATCATTGTTTTACCATTTTCTTTATTATAAAATGATCTATTTCAAAATAAAAATATTTAATTAAATAATAATATTATCGAAAATATGTAAAATATTATAGTAACAAAATATTCATTATAATTATAAATGTTTTCATAATTTTTTATGAAAAAAATATATCTATCATTGCATTTTTGGAATTCCTGAGTTATGATCAATATTATAATATTACTTCGCATTTCGATTAAACTGAAATAAAATATACGATTTATTTATTATTATTTCAAATTATATTTCTAAGAAGTTTAAAGAGTTTCTATCTTAAATATAAAATCATAGAAGATTATCTGTTTTAAAAATAAACTTTTTATCATTAAACAAATATAAATAACAAATATACTTTTTATAAAATTTTTACTTTTTTTTGTTCTTTTTTTTGTCAGTTTAATTAAATAACATAAATAAAACATTTTTCAATTTTTAAAAATCATATGTGCCAATAAATTTAAAATATGTCTTAACAATTAATTATGCGAAAATGTTTGATTACTGATTACTTTTCCATTTCGTGATTCAGACCCCATTTTCATGTTACACTCCTGAATACATTTCTTGGCACGAATTTTCGTACAACCATCATCGGTTTGGATATCAAATATCCAAACATTCGACGAACGATCCCGAAACATCGTGACGATGATTCGTGACCTACTTTTTGCGTTTGTACTTTACTTCGTTACAATATGCGATCAGTTCGACGATGAATCATCGTTGGCTAATAGTATTTATGTTACGAGATCGCGCGTTCGATCCTCTTCTTATAATTATTCACGTGCCAATCCGCAGTAATGTATCGTCCAATCAAGAATAACTACAGTTCAGTGTTTCCCAATACTTTATCGAGCAATATTAAATATCTTTATTTAATATTATAATATTGAAACTATTTACAACTCTATTTTGTAATATTTAAAATTACTTATGATTCACTTTGCAATATTTAAATTATTTGCAAATAGTCAAATATAAATTATTTGTGAACAGTCCGATCATAAATTAAGAAACATTTTAAAAATATAATATTTTTTGATTGTAAAATAAATTGTCTTTGAGTTAACAATATTATGCAAATATTTAGTTATATCATTGTTATTTGGCAAATCTTTGCAAGCCTTTATATTTCAAGTTTAGAACGTTTTATTACGAAAAATTATTAAAATCAGAAATTGAATAATGTCGAAAATTTTAGTTATTGATATAATTGATTAAAATTATCAATTAAAATGTGTGATTCTTTTCGCGATTTAGATTGGAAACTGCTGCCTAGTTAATTACTGTCAAAATTACGACACAAAAGTTGGCATAACATATAAGAGATTCGTAAAATTTTCTAAATTAGTAGCCATAAATGTTAAATTAAAGCTTGTTTAATAGAATGATTTAGTTATCTTGTGTTAGTGCCAAACGATAATTATACTTTATATTTTATGCCTAATTTGTTTCTCCTTAATTTGACCTCATTTATCGAAGCATACCGTAATATGTTCATAATATATCATTTTATACATACATATACCGTGTATATCATTTGAATAACAATTTTGTTATTTAACATAACTATACATACAATAAATGTTAATTATTTCTATTTTTACTAGTACATTTGTTTGTGCTACGAAGGTCATTTGTTTTATCACAATACAAGTCAGAATATAAGTTATTTATTATCTATTATTCAAAAAAATGAATTTTCTTTAAGCAGTTATATATAAGATATAAAATAAAATGGCTATAATAAATGTAAATAAAAAAAAAATTATAGCATGAATCGAAAAATAATTTAAAATTTTTATTTTATTATAAATAATGTCTTAACGTATTGTGAATAACTTGGTTGTTATAATAACAAATTTCCTTATGATATGTTTTATCGTTTCTTATCATTAATTTTACATTTAAAAATTTTTATACATATAAAAATTCAATATTCGTTCCACGATATCAATGATAAAAAAATAATTTTTACATTATTGAGAAAAAAAAATGCAGAAGTTGAGACTTTTATACATATAATTTTTTATATTATTTATCACTTGTTATTTTTCAGAATTAGAAATTAATTATACAAAAGCGCAAGTATGTCCGCACAAAGAACAATGTTCGTGAATAAACAATTCAACTCTCCTATCAATTTGTATTCGCCTCAAGCAATACAGGAAGCCTTGGACAGACAAACTCAAGTTTTATCTAATGGCGCAGTTGGGTAAGTCGATTTTTGCATTTTTAAAAATTAATAAACTTAATGACCCATATTATCTATAGTTTTATCTACAGTTAATTTTTATGCGGAAATTTAATGTGCAATGCAAGTTTTAAAATTATTTTTTGTTTATTATATAGAGCAAAAAATAATTTACGTCCAATTTCAGTTTAAGTATACAATTTAAAAAAAATTTTCAAGAAACAAAAATAGTATGTATACTATTTTCGTATATTTTTAATATTATTATATTTTTTTCATGCATTAATAATAATATATTTATGTCTTAATATAAATTATAATTGTTTATGACATATAATTATATTTAACTAAGAATTGCAATATTGTACTGATGTAAATTTTATTTTCATACATACATTTTATTTATTTTATTGAGTTTTTTCTTTTTCATTTCTTAGAAAATTTTCTAATTTTGTTTTAAAAAGATAATTATACTAAAAAAAAATTCACAATTTTATAATATAATAAAAAGAAACTTTTTGAATAATATTAAATAAAAATAATTCTTTTCTCGCAAAAATCATTCAAGTACATATATCGCTAAAATTAAAATTTATATCTAATCTAATTCTTTTAATTTTTTTATTTTTATAACTTGTAATTTCTTTTGAACACGTATACTTTCTCTCTCTCTCTCTCTATCAAAATTTACAATACAACAAATACAATTTGTTCAATTATCAATTAATTAAAATGTATATATTTATGTAGATATGTATTTATGTAAGTATAAATTGAATACATTGTTCTTATTTGAATTTTGAAATTTTTTAAGAAACACTTTTAAACTATATTATTTTAAAATTACTTTTTTAAAGTTATTTAAAAATTAATCTATTTTTGAAATAATATAAATATTTTATGAAGTGTATAATTGTTTTCAAATTATTATTTGAAAACTTTCCGTCCCGTGTATTATATAAATCCGGAAGTGAGTTTAAGAATCAATAGTAAAACGCATTGAGAGAAGTGATTGATATGTGCGAGCACTTTGCATCAATGAAAATAGAGGCTGCACCTGGTCTACATGTGTCGTTCGATGAATTCATATCGATTCTCCGTCAACGTGTGGATGCTGACCGGTTGCAGGTCGATGAATCAGCCTTCTCGTCGTCATTGGCGCGCGAATCGTTATTTTCAGAGGTCCGAATCACACGAGTTAGAAATAAACCCCTCTCAGAGCCTATAGCTGTTGCGCAAAATCCACGAACACTGTCGTACTTGACTTAGTTTTGCGTTTGGTGGCCTCGGGGTGTACCGTTCACCACCGGTTTTCGCGTGTCAGTTGTACGACTTCCCTTCGGTATCGTGCGCCCTTCCCTCGTAACGAAGATGCTCGCTCAGACCAGGTGATCCTCCTACACTTCATTCTTCATAATCGCATCTCTACGAAAAAAAGTGTTGCTAATCAACAATTTTCATTTATCATAGTTAACAGAAAAAATTTGTATTACAGTTAGTAGTAGTGTTGTTCGATATGAATTTGTAATACATTAGCGAATCATTTTTGTTAATCATGTTTGCTCTTCCGAATAAATTTCTTGATTTCAATTCGTAATATTTTTCTTACGGGAAATGTGTAATTTTGTTTAAACAAAAAAATAATTGATTGAATAGAAAAATTGTTTAAAAAAAATCGATATAACGCTCTTAATATAACAAATTAATAATTGATTCAATTTTTGTTTCTAATATTATTGTACATCATTACGAAATGTATATCTATTTTTATAATATCTACATAATACATATAAATATCAAAATTTTGAACTGCATGAGATTTCAAAAATGTTGAATTTTTATTATCTTTTTATTCAAAGATAAAAACGAATTTATTTTGTAAAAAAAAAATATTTATAATTAAGTTTTATAATAAAAAAAAAAGAAAGAAAGAAATATAGAGAATAGAGAGTATTTTATTTTTACAATACAATAGAAATTATATTGTTAGAATATAATATAATCAGATGGAAAGTATAATTATAGAAACTTCATAATATTAATAATAATCATTCATGTTATTATACACTAATAACTCATATATTTATTGGATTTTTCAGAATTGATTTCAATCAGCTTGCAAAACCAGCGAATTTACAAAACAGCGCGGTTCTACGAATGCTCGAAGAGGAAGAGGCTAGGCAACGAGCTGGTCAAGCTGGTAAATAAATAAAAATCGTTCAATTTCTTTTAGACAAATTGTTTCTTGCTATTAAATGAGTTATTCCTGTAATATATAATATTATTTTTTAAATAAATAAGCAAATGTAAAATAATAAATCGGTAAATGATATATAAGTTTAGAGAAACTTGTATCATTCAGTGCAATGAACTTTCGTAGCGAAAGAGAGTGTAATTGTTTTAAATTTATCTTAACAAACGATTTCAAATTTTTTAAAAATAATGAAAAATTTAGCTATATATGTGTAATAAATAAATTTCACAATTTTAAAATATTTTTTAAGAATCTAATTAATTTGATATTAATTCGATATAATTCTCTAAATTATCCATTTAATTTTTCAAAATTAACACTGTTCTTGACTTAAGATACAAGTGTTCTTCTATCGTTTCACATATTTGGCGAGAAGTCAAAATTAAGACACAAGAAAATATTCTTTGGCCAGATCGAAGTAAAAAGTTAAATATTTTATTCGTATCATTCTAATGAAAGATACACGAGTTAGACTTTTTAACGAATTTCTCTCATTATTTAAAAATAACATGATTTATTCGCAAGAAACGATTTTAAATTTAACTGTTACGAAAAGACGACGTATGCATTGTATAAAAGAAAATTAATCGAAAGATTTCAGCCACTGAAGCACGAAGTCGCGCATTAACCTAAATGAAGAAGACTAACAAGAAGCGAATCTTATGCTGCAAGCTGTTAATCATGAGCCAGGGAGACTAATATCACTTTCAGTCAAGCCAGTTTAACGTATCTACGGAGAGGTGAACACTAACAATATCACTTGCACGAAAAGCTTTGAGAGATCCTTTCTTAGATTTTGCTTTCTATCCCTTCTATCCCTGCTTGATAATTTGATCGTAGTGTCATATCGCGTTGATCCAAATTTGATAACAAATAAGGATATGATCATCCTGTGTTAATTTTGAATGATGACTCTTTTTGCTCTTTTAATAGCAAAAAGGATTTCATTTAATTATCATAATTATTTTCATGATTAAGAAAAATTAAATTCCTTTTTTTTTCTTCTAATAACGTCTAATAATCTCTACAAAATGTGCTAGTCATTTTAAAATCAATATACATGTCGTAATCTCTATACAATAAATATTAATTTTTGCATTTAAATATATTAAAATAAAAATATATTTTCTTCTGTTTTTTTAATATAAAATTTTTAATTTTAATAGAAAAATTAAATATTTTAATATACAATGTTAAACTACCATTATTTTCTTATTATTTTAATCTTTGATATTTAATCTTTGATTTAAATCTTTGATATTTAATTTAAATTTGATAAAATGTTAAAAAACTTGATGCAAACACAGCAAAATATCTTGATTAATATATTTGGATAACAACATGATATGATTATTAATAGAAAATAAGATATCATTCTTTAAATGTAATTAAATAATTAAACGAAATATCATTTTTAAAACTGATACTCGTTAAATTTATAACATCACTTCTCTTCTTTATACTAATCCCCAGGTATTGGCCAGTTACCAAAAAATTCACCAAAATCGGTGGTTAGAATGATCTGCGATAATGAAAAGTATAGGTGACTTCGGGATAGCATCAGTTGTTGGCGAGTATTCGTTTTGGCAATGTCGTTTCCTTCTTCTTCTTTGATTTCTTCTCTGTATTTAACTAAGTGAATTTCTTGTAGAAAAACGTGTAAAATAACGGTACGTTTTGTGGAGAATATTCGTTCCAATTGCTAGTTGCCAGTGAAAGTTTAATATATATAATGTTCGGCGTGTGTATATGATTTATAAATCATGATTTCGTATGAGTGATGCAATTTTTGTGGTTTTATTGTGTCAGGAATTTAGCATATTATAAACTGTGATTTGTGCAACGTTTATTGAGTGCGCGAGAAATTACATTTTTATAATTTTTTTTAACATATTACATATACAAGTAATTATACTTCAGACTATTTTGAAATAGAAATAATATCAAAAGAATTGATATTTTTTATTAACAAAAGTTTATTTTATAAAGTTTGTATTAAAACTTTATATGCATACAAATTTTTATATGTATGTATTTGTTTTATGAAAATACACGAAACTTTTAGATTAAAGTTTCTAGAAAGTAGTAGTAATAACAATTTAATATTAATATCAATTTAATTTATATCAAGTGTGATACAATACACAAACATTTTGTACATTTAGAATATAATAGTTACTATTTATTAAAATTATATTCATATAGAAATAAATTCTATTTTGAAATTTTATAAATATTTATAAAAAGACAACTATAATTATAAAATTAAAAATCATATAAATAAACAAATTTTTTATTATATTTAGTTTTTTAATAGAATTAAAATTATTTCATCGTATTGAAAAAAATAGTATATTTAAGATATTTAATATGTTAAGCATGTTAAATATGAATAATGTGTTATCAAAAATATTTTAAAATTTTATTTTAATTTATCAATGCCGTATTATTGAAATATATACAATCAAAATGGAGACAAGGATCTTTTAATATGCTAATTATTTATTGAAATCTTAAATTATTTAAATATATATGAGGTCCATTAATAACAAATTAATTTTTATTCTTTAAAATATATTTTTTGTATTCATGTTTTTGATATTTAATATTCAAGGCTTCAAAACCAAAGATCCTAAGAATACTGCAAGGTCGAAACGAAATTGTGAAAATTCTTCGGTAATAATCGCGCAAATATAAACTTGGCCGGTATCACATTGCGGTATAGAATAATAATTCGTTTTATTGACGCAATAACTACTCTTTTCCACGGTTCTTTTTATCAAACACGAGGAATGAAATTCGATCCAACGTTTCTTAGCCAAGTACGATGATATAAATACGAGATACGATGAAAAGTATTGATGAGAATTTATATTGAATTATCGATGTAGTTAACAAAAATTTATTAGAAAATATAATATAATAAATTATTCAATTTACTTTTAGGACTGACGTATTATTTTATAACAGATACATCCGTGAAAATATTAGATAAATCATACATGAATGTAAATACACTGCTTTCTTGTGCACATTTTTGTAACTAATATAAAATTCACAATATGTGCCTATATATATTGTTTTAATCAATTTTTCAATTTGAGTATTATAATAACAATTATTTAATAAAGATTATTTGAATTCATTTCAGGTCTTAAGCGCGTAGCTTGGCCACCACCTCCGGAAGATCAAGATTTTGACTTTGTGGAACAAGGACCTGTACAAGCGAAGGTAAATTTCATAATTTTTAAAAATCGTATTAAAATATAGATACGTATGCTTAATGATACTAAATAGAATGATTACGTATATCTATTTATAATATGAATTATATCCTTGAATCATAATTATCGAATTTTGTAGAATTTTTAAACGCGATTTCAATTCAACTTTTTGTCGATGTTTATTGTAACGAATGCGATTAGACTTTTGCATCCGAATTACGTGTGATATTTGTCTTATTTTTTCTTTTACCTTGTTGTTTATTCGTATATCTGTTATGCAAATGTTCCCTTTTTTTCTTTCTTTTTCTTTAATAAATATATGTATGTACATATTTCTTTTCGTGCTTGCTGTGAAATCGTAATCAGTTAAACCTAGAACGATACTGCGAAATCACTGAAGAAATTTAAAATTTATCTATAGAAATAATAAATCTGATAGTATTAAATTAAATAATTTAATTATTTAAATTCTTTGTATGCGATATTTTCACTACTATATGAAATTAGAGTTTAAATAAAACTGAAAATAATAATGTGAAAAATATTAATTAAAATATTGAAAAACCTAATATCTAGAATGTAAAAACTAATAGAAACAGAACATGATAGATATCAATTAAAATAAAATTTATTTATCTTGTATTATTGACTTTTTGATAATTATTGATAAAATATATTCTCTAATGCAATAATATAAAACAAACATAAAATTTAGTAGAATTTTTTTGTAATCATTTTTTAAAATAAATGATGAAAATTAAGTGTATATTTAAACAGAAGAACGGAAAGTAGGAACATTTTAAAATAACTTATTTTTTATCTTTTATCATTTTCCTTTTGTAAAAATAATATTCTATAATTATCGTATAGCATCTCTCAGATACATTTTTCATTTAAATATTATTTCGAATCAATCGTGACACCTTACATCCTTACAACTATATACAAATGTTTGAGAAACATAATACAGTCTCGTTCTAGGATTTCGTGCACGTTGCTGATTCATATGCCCGTAAAACATTAATACGTATTGTAAATGCACACTTTACGACGCGGTTGACTACACCACTGTGGTTGTCGAGGCGGATACCCCGAAATAATAAATTCCTCCAATGAAAAATCTTCGAATCCCACGCACAAAACAAAACAATTCGAAAGGATGATTGAAAAGTAATTACCATTCGACACAGAAATACCTACAAAAACCTTTGTTTTTCCCTTTTATTCTCCCTTCGAAAGACCCGTGGAATCGGTGATCTCGCCTCGTACCAGAGCAGTCCCTCATCAGGTTCATCACCTCAGCCGCCTTCAACGATAGCTCGTTCCTCGACTCGGAGTGCCATACCATCCTCTCCATCCCCGGTTAGTCCTGGTGGAACATTGCGACAACCGTCATATTTTCAATCAACGCCAAAGGGTTGGCATCCGGTTACACCACCGGCAACTTCGCCGATCTCGCAACAATCGATTCAACCAAATTGGTACAGTCAACAACAACAGAATCAGCAATTTCAAGTAAGTGATCGAAACATAGATGTCGACTTGTGTCAAACTGATATATATCGATATATCTATATATCTATATCGATATATATTGTATAATAATAATTGAAATAAATGTGAAAGAACAAAATGAAAATGTGGGACAAAATTTTTTTTTATGAAACTTCGTTTTTCGTAAAAATAATAAGATATTTCATAAATGATATCATCATGTAAAAATAAGGTTAAAATTAATTAAATAAATCAAAAGGTATGCAAAAAAAATTTATAAACAATAAATATAAGAAAAAATATGAACATAACAAAAATTATAAATATAAAATTAAACTTCTAAATGATTATCTTAATTTTAAAAAGTCGACATCTATGTACAATTGATAAATTCAACAGGTGGCTTCAAAGAAGATATGCGCGATAAGGAACTTATTAACACCTTTTTCCTCTACTCTGGAAACAAACGTGTAGTCAACGGCTGTTAATTTCAAGATGTCTTTCAGATATTTAATACGTTGATCTGTCATGATCAATCTGTTATTTGTTATATTATACAATTATATATTTTATAGATTTAATCTGATCGCATATTACTAATTACAGCAGCATCCTCAAGATTATACTTCTCTACGATCGATACAAAATCAAGCTCCTACGGCATTTGAAGCACCACCATCCACAATCATACTTCGCCCGGAGCCTCCAATCTCACAGGTATAATATTGTATGAATATTATATTCTAATTTCATATTTCTAATTTTTCTGTAAGAGAACAAATGATTATTTTATAAAAAATATCTCTTAGATTAAAAATGCTTTTTTATTATTAATTATATGCAAGAAAAACATTTGATATATTTCGCTATAAATTTTATTTATTTAAAACTTTATTTCATTATTAATATTATTTGAGTTATCGAAATTTAATGGGATAATCTTGATTTTAAAAATTGATAATAATGGACATAATTAATTTTTTAATAATGTAATGAAATTATAAAAAAATTCAAAAGATAATTTAGGAAACAATTATATATTTTAATAATGCATTTATTCTTTATTGATTATATTATAATAATAATTGAAATTTTTTTCATCAATTATTTATATTTTATATATGTTCAAAATGGAAAAAAAATTTAAAGCGTGATAATTTTAGAAATTAAAACAACATATATGATAATATATAATAAAACAACATTTATGATAATATACATTTATAAATAATTTAATATTATTTTAGGCACCAGCGCCAGTTTATCAAGCACAACCTGCTGCAACTAAGGCTCCAATAAGTGGAAATATGAGAGGCGATCTGAAATGGCCACCACCATCAGTTAAAGCTCAAGCAGAAGCTGAAAACAGAGCTAGAATGGAATTGGCAAAAGGTCCTGCTTTTAGGCCTCGTAGGGTGCAAAAGGACTATTCCGGATTTTTCGCTCAACATGCTTTGAATAATACATATCCAGGTTATCGAGCTCCACCAGGCACTCAATATTTTACTCCTTCTTATCATCATTAGCAAATTTATTCAAAATTATTTACTTTTCTCGTAATTTTATCCTGAGCTCGATTTTTTACGTTTGAGAGAAGCATGACGCATATTTTGTTTCTTATTCGAATGTTGCAGAAATTCTTTTAAATTTTAAACGAAAAAAACAAAAAAAAATCACTCAGGGTCATTCTCATTGAATTTCGAAATTTGTGCATTGAAAAAAAGAACCAAAAATATAAATATAAATATAAAAATAATTCAATGTTTGGTTAATATATATGTTTCGATTTATTTTTTTATATATAAAACTTAGAACTGTACACGTATAACTTATACGTGTTTTTTGCTCTTGCCAGTTCTTGGTTTGAAATAATAGAATTTTTACGAAATATAGAAAAGGTTCTTAAAACGTATTCAAATTTCGAATTTCAATACACTTTGTATATATTGAGACTGATGGAACACTGGCTTTTTATTGCCATGACTTGTACTCTCATATTTGAACAATAACAACGAAAAATAACAATAGTACATATTTTAAAAATATTTATCATGTTCTTTTCCGTCTTTCTCTTTTAAATATAAATAAAAATTAATACTTTCAGCAAAACACTGTTATTTTACAGAATAATTCACAATTAAATGAAATATGTATTTCTATGGAGTATTGTCATTGTAAAATAAAAGATATCGATTAATTCAGTTTTTTCAACGAATAACGAAGTCAATGTTAGAATAAAAATCGAAAGTAAAATACGAAAAATGAATAAATTAATGAATAAATCATTAATATCGAAAATATTTAAAAAGAAATTGACGATGTGTCTATTAAACGATTAACGAAACTTTTTAATAATGTAATATATTGATGTGTATAAATAAAAGATATTTACAAATAATATTATTATATAATTTTTTTTTTTAATAAAATTTATTTCAAGATACAACATGAATATAAGATAAAATTTTTTTACTTCACAAATATGTTGTTATATTGGTTTTGTTTTGTGAATGTGTTTATTTATTAACAGTGTATAAATTGTTTTATACAATTTATAGAATGACATCCAGTTTTGGAATAAATCATATTTCTATTTATTTATTATGTTTATTCTAAAGTAAAGCAATAAATTATTTAAATAAATTTTAATAATAATTTTCATTTTTTTATAATTTAAATAAACTTTTGTCATGTACAGAATAACTTCTTAACACTGTCGTGCAAGTTTTTTATCAAATAATTAATACAATTAAAATAATTTAATTGTATTTTTAATTTTTAAAAATTAAACTATTAACAAATATTTTTTACATATTTACTAATAATTTTCCCTGAGTTCATCTCTTTTTTGAAATCTAAATATAATATAATAATTTTAAATACTATTTTATTTAAAATAAAGCATTAATAAAATTATAAAATTAAAAATTTAGTAAATCCTATTTGAATAATATTTAAATAACATAATATAACATTTGCATATTATTTTTTGAACCAGTTGTTTACATTTTGAAATATATATCTATTCCTTGTACAATCATGATTACAAAATATTATTAATTAGATTTAGATTAAATAAATCGTAGAAAAATAGAATAACAATAATATAAATTTTTCCATTTAACCACTCAGATATATAGCCTCTAAAAAAGTATAGAATGATTTATAATTTTTCAATATAAGTAAAATTTCAATTTAAGCCTGAGATAGAGTTATATATGGCATGATTACAATAGTAAGTTTATACTAATGAAAAGCCATGAGTTTGTTGAATTGCTTGTAATAATTTATATCGTAATCTTTCTCGAGTTTGATATCGAGGAAGATCAAGTAAATTAAAACACGTATGAGCAACAGGTAATAAACGTTCATCATTCATTGGTTGTATTGTAATCTAAAATAAAAAATATTATAATACTATATTAAATAATATGAAATAAAACATATGAAACGACTTACTTTGATTGCTTTCATGCCTTGTATAGGTATTCTATCACTTCCTGTTAAAAATAGTAAGAATTTTTTCTTTTCTTCCAATGGAAGTTCACGAAATACTTGCCAAAATAATACAATAGTAGGATTATCTTTTGTGTATCCTTCTTTATATGCTGCATTCTTTTCTAATTCTTCCCAATCATAATCTTCATTTCCTACTACTACAGCCATAAGTTCATAACTATGAAATAATTCCAATACACGACCACCACAAACTTTATGAAAACCTTTATAAAATGCTTGAAAATGAAGATCTACAGATTTATTTAATGTATAATCTACATACAAATCAACAAATTGTTTTCTGTAAACAGAAATAATTTCATTAAAATATAATGTTTAAAATAAGAACATAAAACAAAGAATTAAAAAAATATGCATACTTATTTTTCCATGTAACAGGAACTTTACTACCATCAGGTATGAGTTCATATATTTTCTTTTCACCAAATACTTCTCTAACTATTTCAAAATGTAAACCAAAAACTTCTTCAAAATCTGCTTCTTCATAATCTAATATATTTTGCATACTTCTAAAATAATATTGATTATATTAAATAATTATTAAAAATATTATATATTATATACATTATATATATTTTGACAAATTTATTTTGTAAATTCATTTTAAATTAAAAAAGAAAGATATAATAAAGTATAAAACATAAAATAGAGATTTATAATTAAAATATAATTTACTTGGCAAGTACTGGTGACATATCTTTCATATCAATTAAACCAACTGGTTCATGTAACAATTTCTTATATAAAGCTAATGGAAATGGCAAATCAATAATAATAAAATTATAGATAACTAGTCCACAAAGGATTCCAATTAAAAAATACATATTTTCATCTTCAAGTGAATCTTCACTAAACCATATAATTCTAGTTTCTTCATATTGTTTAAACATGCCATATTTAGGATCTAAAATTTCCCTTAGTAATAACATAAAAAATTCTTTTTTAACTCCACCTGCATCTTCTGCTTCTTCACCATGAAATTTTACCTTTATAAAGTAACTTTATGAGTTGTGTCTTATAAATAAAGTATTTGGAATAAAATTATGTACTAATACTCACTCGAAGAGGCTTTTTTAAATCACTAGAATTATATTGTGACAATTCTCGTAAAGTATCAGCAACAATATTTTCCCGTGAAACATTCAATATTACAAACTGATTATGATGTGGTATAGAAAATGGATCAAAAAACATTTGATTCATTACAGCTAAGGTTGCTGCTTCATTCATTGCAGATTGCATCTAATACAGATAAGTTAATTTAATATAAAAAATATATAAATTTATTTAATACAAACTTCTATTTTTATTACCTGAATAGCTTGATCCGTTTCAAGAAGTATAATTTTAGCATTTGCATCAAGAAGAAAAGGATAATTACAGAATACTTTTTGGCACTAAAAAAAGATTATGTAAATAAATTATAAATATTCAATTAAAAGAATTTTACTGCATCAAAAATTTAATAAGAAAATATTATAATAAAAAATTAAGAAAATTAAGAAAGTATTATATGCATAACATACAGAAAAAGATTCTTTTTCTGAAATCCATTTTATATAATCAGTTCTTATATCTATAAGTTCTATTAATTCTGGTAAATGAAATGTAGAATAAGGTACTTTATTGCCTTCATCGCCTTCATTATTCAATTTATTTAATAAATGTAAAGAATCTAAGATAACTTGCAATGTCATATCCCATGATATAGCCTATATAACAATTTTTAAGATGTATTAATTATTTATTTTTATAATGATAAAATAAATAACTCTTGAATATTACCTTATTTAATTTAAACTGTTTTACATAATGTAAAACGACTGATTTATGAACTCTAACTAATCTCTCAAAATAATGGGGCGGTGTCTTAAGCCACCAACTTGTAACAGTTTTAAGAATCTCTGGCTTTAATGCTAAAACAGCTTTGCAGAATGGCTTATGCAATGAATTACAATTAAGAGGATTTACAAAACCATGATATAAAGGTAATATTAAATAGATTCTTAAAGATTCCGTACAAATTATTTTAGATGATAAATTAACAAAGGAAGGAATCAAACTGTCTATTATGCAAGTAAATATCTGAAAAAAGAATAATAAATTTGTTGCAATTTCAAATATAATAATATTTCGTAAAATCTATATTTCTTATATACCAATTCTTGAATTGTCTTGTTATCCAACTCTCTAATAATTCCAAATAATCTACTAGCTTGATCAAGATCCACCCCATGATGCTTACTTGAACATCCATAATGAGCATCATTTTTAAGTAAGAATGATCCAGTTACACAAGATAAACTTTTAAATACAGTTTCTAAATATCTATAAGTATATTAATTCATAAAATTTATAATTTATATTACTATTTGTATGTAATAAAAAAAAGCAAAATCATAATTTTTCATTATCAATTGAAAAAATAAATTTAAAAAAATTCAATGAATTCTACACATCTAAAATAGCTTTAAGTACTAACTTTTCTACTCACGTCATAAGTTCATGATCAATAGATGAATTTGGCAGAACTCGTTGACATGCCATTAGTTGATCTTCAGTTATTGTAAGAATTTGAGAAGTGGTTTCTAGTATTCTACAATCATCTGGTTTTACAATATCCTGAAAGCAATTGAATATAATATATTATATTATATACATTACTATCATTAATAAATTACATTCATATATATTTTATTTGTAGTTGTAAGAAAATTTGTTGTAAGAAACTTTATGGTAAAAATATTTACATTCTGTGAAATTACTGTGGCAAAACAATGATCTCCACCAGTAAAAATATGTTTAACAATATAACCAATTGTACGAGAATTGAATTGCTTATTAACATCCATTATTGTTGAACCATTTGGTGCAATCCATGGACCATGTACTACTTGTGGAGTTGTTACACTTCGAGTAGAATGATTACCTAATTGTCCTGCACCACCTAAACCCCATGCATAAACTCTACCTCTTGATGGTACTAATGCCAAAGTATGTCTTTTACCACATGAAATCTTAAAATTAAATATTTAATAATATAAACATATTATTAGATATAAGATATAAAACTATTTTTGTATAACATACTTGTGTAACTGTGCTACCCATAAGTTCCATCACTTGACGAGGTAAAATTTCATTACTATTGCTTCCATGTCCTAATTGACCATACATTCCAGCACCACATGTAAATACTCCACCATCCTAATTTAAATGTTAAATGATATTATTAATAAAGTTATTTTTTCAACAATTGAAATACTTACTACTGTTAAAAATACAGAAAATTCTTCTCCACAAGCTGCATAACATATTTTTGCATTTTGTAATGTTTGTAACTGACATGGTAAATTTCTATCTTGTGTATCATTTAGTCCTAATTGACCAAATGTATTTTTTCCCCAACCAAATACAGCTCCTAAAAATTTAATTATTTTCATTATTATAAAAATGATTTTTTATGTATTTCATATCTTAGTACCTGATTTTGATATAGCTATGCTATGATATCCTCCACAGGCAATAAAGGCAATAGGAATTCCAATAAAGGCACTGATAAATTTGGGCTTTATTTCATATTTAATATCAGTACCTAAACCAAGTTGCCCTTCACTGTTAGAACCCCAACTATATAATTCTCCATTATTTGTTAATGCAAATGCATGTTTCATTCCACAAGCTATTTGTACTACTACACTTGTTCCTAAAGTTTTTACCATACGTGGTGAAGATTCCATAAAATTTTTGGAATTTAAACCTATAATAAAATTATAAAATATAAACATAAAAAAATAACAAATAAAAACTTTTAAATATAATATCTATGAATAACTTTTTAATATTTACAAATAACTTTACCTAGTTGACCTTCAGTAT